GGTACGATGGGAACCAAGGTGCACCTGGGATTGCGTGGGGGGGGGGACGATAACACGGCGACGGGGGTGGGGGGCTGCTCGCGGGTCCTGGTGGCGGGGCTCCAGCTCCTTCAGCCACGATCGAAGCGCCTCCTGCTTCGCTCTAGCCGCTTGGAGATACGCCTCACGCTCCGCCAGAACAGCCGCACGCTCCTCCTCCTGCTTCCTCGCCGCGCCAAAGCAGCCTCACGTTCCTCCTCCTGCTTCCTCGCCGCAGCAGCCCGAACAGCCTCACGCTCCTCCTCGTGCTTCCTCGCCGCAGCAGCCAGAGCAGCCTCCCGTTCCGCCAAGCGCTCCACGTCCTCGCGCTTCGCCTGCTCTCGCGCCTCCGCCTCTGCTATCTTCCCGGCAAGACCGTCGCACCACAACTCGTTCAACCTTTGCTACGCCATAAACTGGTCGTGGAGTAAGAGGATTAACTTGTCTTCCGGCGGGAGCGAGAAAGGAGAAACGGAAAGGGGGGAATCGGATGACAGATGGGCCGCTTCTACAATATCCTACAGAGAAACACGTCCGGTGTGGTAGGCCCGCTCCAGTTCCGTCGGATCTGCTGCGGCGATGTTGTCCAGAAAATTATCGACGGTGAACACCATGGGCATGGGGGGGCTCTCGTCTCCTGCACCCGCCGCTGGAAACTGCTCTGCGGTGGGAGCCTCGCCCTCGGGTTCGTTATCCAGGATTTCCACGTTGTCGCCCAGGAGTTCCACATTGCGCTGGACATGATGTCCTCTTTGTTAACAATAACAGGGCCAGAGCGAGGGTAGCTACGATCGATTGTGGAAAGGGCAGCAGGGCCAGAAACAGTAGATGTAGGATAACCAACCGCAGAGGCAGCAGCACCAAGAGCAGCAGAAGCAGCAAAGCCGGGTGCAACTTCGGGAAAAGCAAGCCGAGGTCCATGCGAAAGGGGGAGATATCCACAAGATAGCATACGCCCAGTGATACAAGCTTGGTGCACACGAGGTTGAAGTGGATCCAACCAAGCAGAAAAGCGTCCAAAAGCACACCATGCCACGCACGAACAGCAGTAGAAGCTAGCACAAAAGGGCCCCTGTTACATGGAGACACGAGGTTTTCCGACCAAAAGACACGCAGAGCAGCANAGGCAGCAGCACCAAGAGCAGCAAAAGCAGCAAAGCCGGGTGCAACTTCGGGAAAAGCAAGCCGAGGTCCATGCGAAAGGGGGAGATATCCACAAGATAGCATACGCCCAGTGATACAAGCTTGGTGCACACGAGGTTGAAGTGGATCCAACCAAGCAGAAAAGCGTCCAAAAGCACACCATGCCACGCACGAACAGCAGTAGAAGCTAGCACAAAAGGGCCCCTGTTACATGGAGACACGAGGTTTTCCGACCAAAAGACACGCAGAGCAGCACGGCGTTCCTCCGCAACTGGTGCCGAAGTGCGAGCAAAGACCGCTGTGGGTTTGCGCTGTTGAAAGGTTTCCAATTCAAATGCTTTGAGGGTGAATGATTCCCCGAAACAAAGTGCCATGTGACTTCGAAAATGGAGGGAAGGCTGGTGGGGCGGCTAACACCCAATTTGTGTGCACACAACGCGTTCCAAGTCGATGCAAGCGGAGTCAAATCGGAGAGCACAACAGGAAAATCCGCGGACATCGGCCCGTACGCCGGCATGAATGCAGTAGAGGTGGTAGCAGACGTGGGAAGCATGCTGTCATCTCGGGTCCCACTACACAAGGTCAGCAACTCAGGACGCTCCATGCAGAGGGTATCCGCCACAGAAATCACTTCATGGACCGCCGATGCAGACAAAATAGCTTTCGAGGGACGACGAACGTACGAAAAATCACCCAAAACATCGCGATGGCCTCCGAGGCGCGAATCCTTTGCAAGGTCCCAGTCCCGTGGGCGCTTCGCGAAAGCATCACAAGCCAGCATCTCTACAGGAGAGGAAGCAGAGAAGACGCTAAGTCTAAATTCTCATGAGTGGTGAGACCAAATAACAAGCAACCCGGTGGTTGTGAAAAAAGCGTGGCAACAACACACAGCAGTGTGGAAGCCGCGTCCAGCACCGGCTTACCGTGTAATGCCAGCTGACGCCAAGTTTCAAGGAGTGATGCCGTG